CTCTTCCCACAGCCTCTGGCCAGGCTCCCTCTCCTGTGGCATTTGCACATGCTCTGATGAGTGGTTGGGTCTGCACGCTCCCTGTGAAGAGCTTGCATCATGGATCCTTTGGGAAAGGAAACTAGCTTGTCTGAACATTGATTTTTTTTAGCACATATTAATTCAGGCAGCTCTCACACCCAGAGCTGTCCATCATTCCCCACACTCTCACTCTACATTAGGACACGTTTTGCAGTGATGGTATGAAACAGTCGGGTGGGCTGGACCCACCATCCTCTGCAAGCTGCAGAATCTCTCCTGCCATTGCTGGGGTGAGGATGGTGTGCAGAGTGGTGAAGAGTTAGCTGAGGTGCCAGCACCTTCTAGGTATGGTGTGAGTGAGAAAACGCCAATGTTGCCGAGTTCTTGTATGTAAATTGTCCGCGTGCTGGCCGTGAGTGGTGGGGAGCAATAGCTTTTTCACCCCTCTCATTTCCCCTGCCTTTTGGGTGGGTGCAGAGCAGGGAGACATGGGTCTGTGTTTCTCTGGAGGAGCCAGAGCTCACAGCTCTGGGCTGGGGTGGTGATGTGCAGGGCTTGCTGGTGTGTGGTTGCCCCTCTGCTGTGCAGTGGAGCTCAGCGGCTCAGCTGGGGTCCAGAGCAGGGGAAGACCATTAAGCTGCTGTGTGGACCAGGAGGCTGGTGTGGCTGTGTGGGCTGGGGGCCTTCTGAAGGGATAGGCCAAGCAGTGCCTTCCACTGGGATGGTCTTGAGGGATGACCCCCTCCTTGAGGACTCATGTCTTCTCCCCATATTGAGTTTAGGCTTTTCTCACTGCCTTAGCAAATCCCATAGACCTGGGCAGTTGTGCAGTTCCCCTTGAGCATCATCGTGGCAGCTACTCTCAGCACCAGCTGCAGAGCAAGGTCCATTGTAGCCACTGCAGGCCTTTATTTGTAGCAGCTGTGTGTTTTGCTAGGGGTTGCAGACCTCCCTGCTCTGTATGAAAGGTGGGAGCTGGTTGCAGAGTTTCTTCAGACCCTCAAGACCTCTCTGTGTTCAGCTGTGAAGCTGTTCTGCTGCAGGAGTGATCCCCTCCTGGCCAGCAGTGACGGTGGAGACAGTCAGCGTTTGCTCCTCAGTCCCTATTTCGGCCTATCAGCATCCCTCGTGGGAACGTCTCTTCCCATCCGAGAGATGAGAAGCCTGGGGTGGGGATCTTGTCCCTGAAAAGCAGTGTATGTGAGAAGTTCATATATGTTGAGGGTGTACATTAATCGAGCAGAGCAACGTGTGCACAGTCAATTAGTCTGATCACTTAGATTGTCTCCTGTAGCCTTGCTTCCTGCATCTCTTGGCCACCAGAACAGAGGCACGTTGGACTTTTCTGGGAAGCAGTGGCACTTTCAGTTATGAACCTAGGGTATCACATTGTTTGCACCTCATTTCTCCCACCATCACCACTTTTCCACTATGTTTAACGACCTTCAGCTTCTTCAGCAGTGAAGAACAGCACAGCAACGAGAGGTCCCGCTTGGCATTGTGTTTGTGCTCTGGTTGCTCTTTTGCACCCCCTCCCTTTCCCTTCTTCAGGATCCTGGATGCTGAGAAGGGCACAAGCTTTGTTTGCCTTCCCGCTACCGAGACAGCAGCTCAGAAAAGGGCTATGGCAAGAGGCAGTTGTGTCTGACTGCGCCCAGCTCCAGCGGGTGATTGAACTGTCTGAGTGGTTTAAGGTTGCATTCAGGTGGCGATTGAAGGCAGAAACTTCTGCCCTCCTTTCCATTAGATCTTTGCTGCATTAGCAAATGCATCAGAAGAGTGGCCTTTGCTGGCACAGTTTGTACCAGCTTCCAGGGTTTTGGGAGCGGGGCTGGCAAGCCCAGGGAGGAGGGTGGAGTAATTTAACTGTCCGAGGTGTAGGGGGGAAGTGTCTAATCCCGGTGCAATGGTGTCGCAGGCTGCGTCGAATGGCGACCGGCCAGGGGAACTGTGAGCTCGTCTTCCTGCTGCTTGCTGTGTTTCGGGTGGCTTCCCCAGAGCTCGCAGATGATGGCTGCGGATGAGTATCTGACCCTGGGGTGACTTTCAGTGGGCAGGGGTTGCAGTCCAATGAGGGTGGATTTCTATTTAAACCTTCAGGGTTTTGTAATCTTCCTGAATTAAAGTTCCTCTTTCTCAGTGGAGTTGGAAAAGAAATTTAAGGGAGGAGGTCGGGGGGGAGGGGAATGAATTTTCTCTTGCTAGAGGGCCATGGCAAGTACATGGTGCTGCAGAAGTGTGGTATGCTTGTCCTGACCCTAATCATCATACCCAATTGGCACCTTTCATGATAGCATCTCTTGCTCGCCTGTGGGGTATGCCAGCTTCATCTCGTGGGAGCAGGGGTGCCCCTTCTGCCATGCTACTCCCACTTGTGATGGCCAGGACAGTGGGAGGCATCATTTGCTGGAGGACAGGCAGACGGTGTGGATGTGCCACCATCTCCAGCCTGCCTTGTGGTTTGAGGTTTAACACAGCCTTGAGGGTGAAGGCATGGAGCTAACAGCGTATGTGGAGGGGTGAGGTGTGGCTCTTTGCCATCCAGAATAGCAGTGAAGTGGGTTTACCTTGTCCCATCCTCAACCCCTACTGAAATCAAGCAGCTTAAAAGACCATTAAAACCTTAAGGGGTGTGTCCCTTCACCTCTGCCTTGCAGAATTAGCTGTTTCTGTGTTACAGCATGCTGGATCCCAGACCTCAGTGTCTCTACCTTGCAGCATTTGGGTGCTCCTGGGATGTGCAGGAAACATTGGGAACATTCAATACCCAAGGAGTGAGGCTGTGCTTTGCAGATTTCCACCTTTCCCAGCAGAAAAGGGGGGCTGACCACTCAGCCTCACTGCAGAGCAGGTGGCGACAGGGAGGGACCCCCTCTCCTAATGCGGTGGCCGTGTTTCTCCTTGCAGGTGGTGGTGCTCCTGGAAGTCCTGAGCTGGGGTCAGCTGGAAGATGACCGAATATAAGCTGGTGGTGGTGGGAGCTGGTGGTGTTGGGAAGAGTGCTTTGACAATACAGCTCATTCAGAACCATTTCGTTGATGAGTACGACCCCACGATAGAGGTAAGCAGTTCTGGGCATGGGGTCTGTCTGTCTGCATTTTCCTCTTGCTCTTCTCTACCTTGTCTCCAACCCTGAGGGTGCTCGGCTTGGTCTCAAGTCTGAACTTGAGCAGGGATCTTCCTCTGCTTCGTAGAGCTATTCTGAGTTGCTCTGCATGTGTTCGGAGGTCACAGTGACCGACTTGTGCATCCTGCAGAAGGACGGCAGTGTCTGCTGAAGAGAGATGGCGAGGGAAGCAGCAGAAGTGGGCAGAAGCAGGCAGGGGCTGAGAGGCAGCACAGAAGTCCTCCTTTCTGATGAGATGACAGCATAGGGAGGGGTTAAAGGTTTGGGACTGAAGAGCCATTTTGTGCCTGTCCTTCCATTTCTCCTCCTGTGAAATCAGAGTAAATATATTGACTTCTTGTGCAGGATGTTTTGAGATTTATTGATGAAATGGGTTTTATCAGAGCCTGGTTGTATTATGTATGTCCTGCAGTTTGAGCAAGACATGCCAAGCAGCTGAACCGTTATGGTTCCTAGAGTGCTGCCTCTGCTCCTTTGCAAGGAGTTAAAGGTTGATGTATGGGTCTCATAGTCAGTGTGGATGGTAGCGCTGGCCTGTCTAGCTTGGCACCCTGCCTGGAGAAGCAGGCAGGGACCCTGTGCTCTTCCAGGCTGTGCAGAGCGGGGTCCAGTCTTCAATATCCATTACACTATTTTTTATTTTTTTTTTTACTTTTTAAAAACATATTCTATTCTCCGACTGCTTTCACTGTTGCTAGCGAGATGCTAATTACCCCCTTCATGACTTACACCTTCATTCAGGGGGATGTAGGCAGCGGCCACTGCTCTGCACAAGAAATAAGTCCACCCTGGGAAGGCAAATTACAGCTCTGTCATGCCTCTTGGACAATAACCTCCCTGTCTGTAGTCCTAAAGGATTCTCTACCAGATGTCTATAAATGCAGCTGTGGTTGCTGCAGTTACTATTATTATTATCATAATGGCTAAAAGGCCCCAGCTGGGATCAGAAATCTATTCTGGTAGGTGTTGTATGTGTAGTCCCCACCCTGAAGAGCTTAAATAAACAAGTAAGACAAGGCTTGGTAGAAAGGCAGAAATAGTCTTACAATCGTACAGACGGGAAGGAGAGAAAGCACTTAAAAGCACGTGCTATGACATCATTTGGCCAAGGTCACCTAGAAAGTCCGCAGCAGAGACTGGAATTTAATTTAAGGGCTCCCAAGTCTCAGTGCTGCACTTTGCTTATGGATGCAGTTGCCTTCTTCCCCAGCTTCTCTCCTCTCAACATGCTCATCACCAGTAGCATCATATGCTTCTCTTAGAAAACCATTCCAGGTTGTTTTTGGCAAAAGAGCCGCTGATGGAGAGCAACCTCCCTGGGGAGATATCTGCATGGATGGGTCCCCTCTTGGACCTTAGGGTGGGCAGAGGCAGCTCTGACCCAGTGGCGTGTTGGGTTTTGGCATCCTATTTTTTTTTTGTCTCCAGCCGCCTGCCCCCTGTACGTACCCTGTAGGGAATTTTCTGCATGTAAACAGGCAGTGGGGAATGTAAACCTTGCATGGCATTTCCCAGCACACCCTCCTTGCCCTGCCTGCTCCTGCTGTGCCCCAGGAGACGCCTGCTCTCCTCCCCTGTTCCCCCCAGCCCCACTCTGCTCTTTTCCTCCTCTTCTCTTCCTAAAGCAGCCACGAGCTGCTCTTTACCCCTATTGCCCCTGGTGCTTTTCCACCTGCAGGTCCCACCAGCCCTGATGCCTTTGCAGCTCCCTTGTTCATGCCCTGCATACCCTCCCACCCCGGCCATCTTCTCATTCATTCCAGGGTGACTCCTTTTAATTATGCTTCATTTTATGGGGATTTGGGATGCACAGAGAGTTACCTGCCAGCCATACGAATGTGACCAACAAGCCACCCTCCTGTGACTAAGCTGCTTTGGATCATGCCCAGGAGCTGACTCTGTTCAGCCAGCTTAGAAACAGCACAGCAATGCTGAAATGAGCAGTATAAAAGGGGAAAGAAAAAAGAAAAGTATACATGCATAGAGCAAAGGCTTTACCCGTCGCTTAAATGAATCGAGTGCAGGCTGTGCTGCAAAGGGGTGTGAGCGGGTCAGGGTGCACTGAGAAGATGCTCCCCAGGGCAGGAGAAGTGAATTTGTCCCCTCTCTGGGGCAGAGACGCTGACTGAGTGCCTGCTCCCCTCCTGCCCTCCCAATTCACTAGTGCAAATGTCTGGCTTTGTAACTCAGCGCCAGCCGACCCACTACAGCATGCGCTCACCCACCTGCTCTTGGGCTGCCAAAGAGTCTTAAGACCTTTATTTTGGGAACGAGAGGGCCAAGGAAATTTATGCTGTGTCCCATGGTGAATGGAGTAAAGAGTCAGACTGTGCTGAGGAATTCTTTGGTTTGTCTTCCAGCTTTTAACAGTCAGGTAGTAACAGGCTTCCCAAACCTCTGATCATATCCTGACTATAGCATTTAACAAACAGACCTCTTGGCCTGGTCCCCCAGCACATCTAGGGTGCTCCCAGCATCTGTCTGGGATCCTGAGTCCGAACCCCAAGTGGATGTTGTTTCTGCTGCCTGGCTCTTCGCAGCTGGGTCCGGCCACTTTCCCTGGTGCAAGAAGGTGGGGTAGGACATGGTGGGCTGCAGAGGAGCACTGAGGCTGTGGGGTGCTGGTGGCTGGACATGTGGGCTACCCCTGCAGTGGCAGCCAGGTCACCTGGCAGCGTGGCAGGGATGGCTGAGCCACCATCCTGAGCATGCTGGGGGGAGGGTGTCGGATGAAGCTGGACACAAAGCAAGGGTGGGTAGAGCTTGTCCCCTTCCTTTGGGGAGTGGGGTGCAAAGCATCCTCTGCAAGACTGGCCTTACAGGCAGCCTCTGGATGACCTGAGCTGAGGTGTGGGATCGCTTCTCTGTAGGTGTGCTGTCTGCTGGTGAGACCTCCTGTAACTGGGGACTTGGCAATTAATTGCGAACATGTGTGCCGAGAGGCTGGTCCTCTGGACACAAGCCAGGGTGCAGGGGTGGGAGGATGCTCTGCTGGGCACAACAGGCACTGGGGTCCCCTTTGCCCCTGCCAGGCACTGGGACCCCAGAGGTGGAACCAGTGCTCTTCTACCTTGCACCAAGGAGTCTCCAGATACATTATTTATTAGAAATGGGAGCGCATCCCTGCAGGGCAGCCTGCCAGTTGCCTTCAGAGCGGTTGGCTGGAAGTCAGCCCATCACTCCACACTTATTCCCAGTGGGTCAGCAGTCCCCTTTTTGGGAAGGCACAGCCAAGAAGGTCGTGGCAGAGCAGATCTCATCTCCTCTGATTTCACAGCCCTCTCTGAGGAAAGACTTTAATTAGCCCCAGTAGATGACGTTGTAGTAATGAACCAAAGGGTAGAGGCCGCATTGGCCCCATTCCCTTTCCGTGCCGCTGCTGGTCCTGTTGGTAACCTTTGCTGCGTTGGCTGTTTGTCTGCAGACCTGCAAAGCTCATCTGATAACATTGTTGTGGTTGTTGGAAGAGCAGCAGTTGTTTGAATTAATTTTAAACTGCAGCCATAGCCTCTGCGAGTGGCTGCAAAGCACTGTTGTGGTCATATTGCTGACACGCACCTTTTTCATAACTTTGGTTTTGGCTTGCTTCTCTTGCTGAGAGTTGAGGATGCTGTGCTGTACCTGGGGAATGGCTGTCAGAGAGGGATGAGGCTGTTCCTCCGCGCAGGGGCTGCCCCAGCAGCATCCCTGCTGATGAGACCGGGCACAGGGGAGAGGCATGGTGGGGAGGAGCAGTGCTTTGAGGAGCCTGCTTTGAAAATGAAACCTTTTGAGGGATGCCCTGGGTGGTTTCCAGGCTGTCTCACATCTCCGATAAGTTGCGATTGCCTCTGCTGCAGGGAAAACCCCCAACTTCAAAGGACCTGCCTGGATAGTGCTTACCTCTCCTGGAGCCCTCTGGGCACAGAATGATTATGGGAAACACCCTCCTCACAGAGTGATATATTTTTTTTTTTCCCTCATGTTTGAAGAAGATTACCATCAAGCCCAGTTTGCAGCCTTACTGGTGGCATACTGCCTCTGTACCTGATCTGAGATGCGTTGGAGGTGCTGAATTTCCAGGTGATCTTAAACACCTGCCAGCCCTGCAGATCACAGACGGTGGCTGGAAGCCCTGGCTGGCCGGAGCCGCCTTTCCTGGGTGTCCCTTCCAGAACCCGGACAGGACGGCAGCAGAAGGGATTAGCTGGGACTAAATAAAGCTTATCAAAATAGTTGTCGAGGGCTATGCAGTGTGGTAGAGACAAAGCTGCCTCTGGTCTGTGAGAGGCAGGGCTGGGAATGGGGAGAGCAAGCTAGGGGCTGTCTTCTCTGTGGCTCTGCCAGAGAAGGGGAAACATGCTCAGCTGCTCCCTTTTTCTTTTTTCTTCTTCTTCTTCTTTTTGCTTTCTGTCTCATTTTTGAAACAATCGGCTATATAATGGGAACTAAACCCAGGCAGACCTGGCATCTTCCCAGGGATGCACTTGCTGCATCCCTTTGCTTGGCCGGACCTGAGCCCTTCCTTAATGCATCCTCCTCTCTTTCTCTCCCTCTCCTGGCCTGCAGGATTCCTACAGAAAGCAAGTCGTCATCGATGGAGAGACCTGCTTGTTAGACATCTTGGATACCGCAGGGCAAGAGGAGTACAGTGCCATGAGAGACCAGTACATGAGAACGGGAGAAGGATTCCTCTGTGTCTTCGCCATCAACAACACCAAGTCCTTTGAAGATATTCACCAGTACAGGTTGGTATCCTGGGAAGGGCCCCTTCCCTCTTGCCTTGTGCAAAGGGGAGGCCTTGCCGCTGCACCCTCCTGCCCTCCCTTTTAGATCAGGCCCCACGGTGGAAGCACCGGCTGCCAGCAAAGACAATTAGCTCAAGTGGCCAATCCCCAGGGAAGAGACGGAGCAGACGGCTAATGTCAGTGACTCCAATAAAACCCATCCGAAGGGATTGCTTGTGGCCTTTGGGGACTTGGTAATGTAATGTTTAAGTGTTTATGGTGACTAAAGAGAGAGCTGATCCTCTATGACCCCCTCCCTTCCCTCCCTAATTAGTGGAATTGCTTTGTTAGTGTAATCGATCTCAGTGACTTCTGCTGGGCCCAGGAGCTGGGAGAGGAGGCTAGGAAGGGCAGGGAGGGCTGCTTCCCCTGCTGGCAGCCGTTGTGGCAAGGCTGCAGTCTGCTGGCCACACGCATGTGGGGATAGGAGGTCTTGGCCCATTCGAGCTCGCTTTCAACCAGGGCAAAGATGGAGCAGGAGTCAGAGCCCTGGCGAGGTGACTTGCCCAAGAGTATATACTGGGTGGCAGTGGCAGAGTAGGGACCCCATCCCGGCATGGTCCTGCTTTGGCTGCACCCAGGTTACCTATCCCACTTCTCTCCCCTGCTACTGTCAGCCCTGCAGAGCTGGAGAGCCAAGGAGATGATATAAATACAGTGGGAGTCTTCCCTAGTTACCCCAATGCTAGCTTAGGGAGGGATCTCTCCGCTTTGTGCCTTTTTTTGAGGCTTGGCTGTGATAGGAGGCACTTGCAGAGAGGTGGCTCTGCCTGTCCGCGCTCTGTCCACTGCCCACCAAGGGACCATGTACCCCAGTCCCTCATCATAAACGCAGGTCCCAGATAATCCTGTAGCTCCAAGCACAGGCACAGCCTGCCCTTGCTCTGCAGTCAGAGGCATTGCTCTGAGCTGTCGAGATGTCTCAGTCTCCGACTAGCAGGCGTGTTCAGTGTAATAACTATACAGTTGGACTAATTTGGCTTGTTTTAGCTGAACTGGAGGACAAAGGATGGGATTTTCCTAAAGCACCTGAGGGATTCAGCAGCATTCATCCTTGTGCCGGGGCTGGTGCCTGTGAATCACTTGCAGGATGGCTTGATTTCAAGCCCCGGTTTTAATCATGGTGTAAATCACCAGCTTTCATCTCGTTTTGCCTGTGCTCTTTGTGCTTGCACTTTTAAAAGAATATTCCCCAGAGAAACGCTGGCTCTCCCTGGCTAGTAACCATTAGGAGGTATCTCTTTTCAGCTAAGTGTAGCCCGTGCACTAAATTTAGTACTTGCGTTTGCTGATCAGGATGTTACATGGAACATTTAAGTGGCTTTATGGCATATCATACGTACAGTCAGACTTCATTTCTATGTTCTGCTACATTAAAAAAAGATGATTGATTTTTTTGTGTGTGATACATGTCCAGCTGCTTTTGGATGGAAATTTGAATTAAATTAAAATGCAGAAATCAGCATTTTAAATAATGCTTTATTAGTTAAATAAAACCATGTTAAGTGTTCTGGATGCATGAGCAAGAAAAAAAAAAAGCTGTTTTGCATCTGAAGTTAAATGATTTATTAAGCAAAGGAAGTTATTATCTATCAGGAGGGAACTGAATGGATTGTTTGTGGTCATAATGGCCTTTAAGATTTTTTTAGAAGTGGTAGATCTCATTCTCGCCCACCTAGTTTTAAATCCGAGGTTGGAATGAAGAAGTGAGCGTTACAGCTTTTTTGCTTCCCAGTTGGTTTCTCAACTTTGAGTGACCTGAACTAAACTGAAAGGAAGCAAATACTGCCTGTGCATCTGCACAAAAGGTTACAGCTGCCAAAAGCTGGTTTATCAGCTCAGCAAGTTCTGGTTGCAGGTGGTTTTAGTTTGGTGTTTGGTTTTTTTGTTGTTTTTTTTTTTAATCCCCATTCAGGGGGATTACTTGATCTAAAATGTTGGAAATAACACAGGTAACTGCTTGAGTATTCATTTTTATTTAGCTTAAACTATCTTAAGCTCATGTTTCAATATAGATTGTCATAATTTCAAGTTGTGTTTTGTAAACAGGTGCATTTAAAGAGCAGAAGTATGTTTAGTTTTCGTTTCCAAAAGTGCCCTAGCTATTTTGCTGTTTACTCACTTACGTGCTGTGGTCATTTACGTTCTCCTGAAAGCCCAACACAAGGCACTTGGCAGGATCAAAGTGTAGCTGTTAATTCTTGACGAAGAAGCTGGTGGAGAGTGGAGTGGAGCTGCCCCCGATGCCTTTTCTCCCTTCACTTTGGCACCTCTTACTCTTGCAGGGAGCAGATCAAGAGGGTGAAAGACTCAGATGATGTTCCCATGGTGCTGGTGGGAAATAAATGTGACCTACCAGCCCGGACAGTGGAGACTCGGCAAGCGCAGGACCTGGCCCGGAGTTACGGGATCCCCTACATAGAGACGTCTGCCAAAACCAGACAGGTAGGAGGAGGGTTTTAAACAAAATCTTTTTCTTCTTTTCTCCAGCGCTGTCCTGGAGAGGCAGGAACAGGCAGACACCCCCTTGCAGACAGATGGGTACAAGGGCTGGGGTTAGTTGCTTCCTCAAGGCTAAATGCTTCATCAGGATGTTCCCTTCCCTGTCCGGGCTTGAGCCTCCGATCTGGAGAAGTACGTAATTCATGCTCTGGCAGCAGTGCTGGGAAAATGTCTTCTCAGGGCTTTCTCCAAGACTCTGGAATAACCCCCATAGTCACTGCAGGTCAGCTAAGCTCAGGGGACTTGGCTAACCTCATCCATGGTCAATTTGACAGACCTACAGACAGAATATGCCAGTGCTGGAAGGACCATGTGGGGCTCCCAGAGCACAAAGGTGGAAATGGAGCAGCTGATACCTTCAGTGGTCTAGTGGTAGCTTTTTTCTTGGGTGCTAGACCTCATGCAGGCTGCTGAAAGCTGATGAATGTCAAGGACTTAAGAGCTCGTTGGCTTCATGGTTGCACATTCAATCTCACTCTCTGTTCAGGGGCTGCACTGTGGTCCCTGTTAGTCTTCCAGGCTTGGTTTTGTGCCTTTAATTCTGCAATCTGCACTGCTGGAAGACAGTGCTAGGGACACCTAGCTGGGGAGCAGAGCCCTCTCTTCTCTCCGTTGTCCCCTCTCCATTGCTGCTCCAAGCAATGCTTTTCTTCCAGGGCGTTGAAGATGCCTTCTACACGTTGGTGCGGGAGATCCGTCAGCACAAGCTGCGCAAGCTGAATCCCCCAGATGAGAGCGGCCCTGGCTGCATGAACTGTAAATGTGTGATATCGTGACTATGGTGAGTTTTGGAAGCAGAAGATGGGGTACAGCAGGGTTATATTGGAAGCAGGGCAGGAGGTGACTGCAGATGCAATCATCTGCGAACAGCAGAAACAATTTCAGGAACGGGTATTTTTTAATGAAACACCTTTTTGACTGAAGTAGCATTTTTCTGTCAAAACACGGTCAAAATTCCCACTTTCCTGAGGAAGTGTGTAGGAGGGAAGGGTTGTTTATTTTTCCCCCTCATTTTGTGGAACAAAATTCTACAGAACTGAATTAAAAAAAACAACGTGTTTTTTTGTGCTTTCCCCGGGAAAGCTCCTTCCCATGCTGTCCTTCTGAAAGAGGAGTTAAGCTGGTGTTGAAGGTGTGCAGCTCGCTGTGCGTTCACCAGACGAGCCCTAGAAGAGTTCAGATGAAGCGCTGGGTGAGCACATTGCCTCCTAATGCAGTCGTGTAAATTGCCTTGTCCTAAAGCTTCAAAGCAGACCTGTCTCACTGTGAAAGTCCTGTGTTCTTCAGAAGAGTTTTCTGCATTAGATATATCCCCTGGGATATTTGGAATTGATGCAATGTTGAGAATTAGCCATAAGGGGGCTGTTTTGCTTTTATAAATGGTGTGTGCTGGAGCCAGAAACAGTGTTTTTCAGATTGTCTGTGTTCACTTCCCTGTTTTTTTTCTTCTTTTTCTTTCCTTGTTGTTGTTTTTTTTTAAATGATGAGTTTATTTAAATCATTGCAATCCTGCTGGATAGCAGTGAGGGAGAGCTTCTATTGGTGTCCCTGCGTGAGCTTGGTGGCCTTAAGCCAAACGCCTGGGAACATCTGGCTGTGTAACCAGCTCCTTCTATGGCAGAAGCGGAGAGAGAGGCAATTGGGGATGAGCGTACCAGGGAGATGTACATCTAAGGACATCTGCGACTAGGGTGTGGGGAGAAAAGCTGGCATGAACATTGCCCTTAATGTCTTTTGGGGAGTCTCCCAAGCACCCGGACTGGGCCCTTCACCCCTTTACACAACTGCTGGAGTCCTAAAGGGAAGCGCATCATGTCTGGAAATGCTGCTAAGAGGGTCTTGCTGAAGGTGGAGGTGGGCAGCTGGTTTTCCTCCGTAGCTTTTTGAGCCAAAGGCTGTGAGCACAGCAGAGCTCTTCCCTGGGGAAAAAAAAAAACAACAAAACCCACACTGGCAATGTTTGCTTCCTGTGAGCAAAAAACCACCCGAGCACCCCACCCCTCCGCTCCCAGCCGAGGTGTGCGAGGTCTCCTGGGGGCCGAGCCGAATGCTGTGCCCAGCACACTTATCACTGCTGAGGGAGGTTTTCCAGATGTTCAGGTCCTCCAGATGTTCAGGAGTGTTTCTTCCGGATGGGGATGTGAGCTTGGGGCTCGTTTCCTGCTCTGGCTCACAGCTGACGGCACTGGCTCAGCGGACGCTGCTGCTGCCCTACACCGACTGCCAGGAGCCTGGTCCCTGTCACAGCCTGGGGGCCAGCACCGGCATGGGCAGTGCCTTCAAAATGAGGGGCAAGAAGGGGTGGGAAGGAGTCTTTTGGAAATACTCCCCTCTGTTAAGAGAGCATGCCCTGTGAGTTGCCCACATCTTTTCTTGCTCCGGTAGAAACTGGAAACCAGACATCCCAGCTTATTCTAGCTGCAGTGGCCAAGAGCAGAGAGGGAGGAATATCAGGGCACAAAAGGAGAAGCAAGGCAAGGACATGCTGGGTTTTGGGGAGAAGGGTGCGTGTGTGGCCTGGGAGACAGGGAGATTTGGCTGCATTTGCCCTGGAATCACTTTGTGGTTCCCATCATCCCTGGAGGAGAGAGAAAGATCTCACCAAACAGTGCCCCTTCCCACAACGAGGTTTGGGCAGAGGCAGAAGGTCTAGTGAGGTGCCCGAGGCTCACCCATCACTCCACAGACCTTTTGCTTGTTCCCTTCAGCACACGTGCAGATGCTTTGCTGAGCCAGGTCCAGACCTCCAAGACCTGTGTAGCCCTTTGCTTTCCCTCTGTGGGCACTAGCAGGGTCATCCCAAAACATGAGGGGTGCATAATGGAAACAGTCACCACTGGTTCTGATGACGAATGGGTGCTAATGAGTGTCCTCTTCTGGTTTCAGCTGACTGGACCATGTCTTGGAGAGGTTCCCACTGTGCAGAGCGCAAGGAAAGAGGTGAAGCAAAGGAAGAAGCAAATGGATTCGGGGAGGAGTATAGGGGGAGGGGGAGAGGAAGAGGAGGAGGAGGAGGAGGAAGAGGACGGAGGGAGCATGAGCCCCTCCAAGGACTATCTCGCACTTCACCCAAGCCTGCAGCAATCGACTTTTTTTTTTTTTTTTTTTTTTTTTTTTCCCCCCACCCCCCCCCCCTTTGGCCCCCCCCCCCCCCGGCCCCTTTCA